TGCTGCCCCCTGTTTTTGTGTAGTTAGCTTTTAAGTTGAAATAGTTTCCATAAGCATGCTTTCCAAAGTTTTTGCAGAGTCAGAGAGAAAGAATATGCAAACTGGTGTCTTTCCTGCTATAGGCAACATCATAGCAATGATTATTCTTGAAGATATTGGTAGATAAATATATTTGGGAATGATTGTCAGAAAATGTTGTATTCAACTTTCATGGTTCATTGGAGAACAATAAAAACTGAAAGGTCAGGGGGAAAATATGTGAGGAAATCATTCAAATTCAGATTTGCCATTATAAAGCCTTTCAGAAAATGCCAGAGCAGGCAAATCATGTGTGAAAACTAAATTACATGTTTTATTAATATACTGTCTGCTACTTGTTATTCTTTATTTTCTTCATGTGTATTAAATGCTTAGTAGATACTCATTCCTGACGTTTGCAAAGCAAAAATGTGCTCCAGAAATGTCATAATTCACTTCCCTTAATTTTATGTTGTAGTAATTAGAATAAATCCACTCTTTGAGAAGATACCTCACCTCCCCCCAGATATTTGAGAAGAGACTGGAAAAAATGCAAACCCATGTTATTTTGCAACTTGAAGCACCGCCTGTGGCCAATACCTTTGAAATCTTTCTACATAATAGAAATTACTTACTACCCACAAAGAAGCCTGAGTTTATACATTCATCTGCTTCTCTTGCCCCATGGTGCTTGAAGCATTTTGTTTATTCTGCTGCTTGCTAGGTCTGGCTGCGTTTGGAAATGAAGGTAGAATTAGAAGAGCTTATTTACTACAAGTACATTGTAGCCTGGTGAAGAGATCAGAGCAGCTCATGCACAGTTCCCAGGTGTCCTTTTTAGCAGGTGGCTTTAAGGACCTTATGTATTTGTGCAGTGGAAAAATTGGGGGTGGTGAGTTAGAGAATTGCATACCTAAATAGAAATTAAACACATTACCTTGTTAATTATGTTACTTTTTTCTGTTATTTGATTAGTCTAGCATGATTAACACACAGTGGGAAACAGGAGATGCATTGCTACATTTCCCTTTGATTCGCCAGAAATGAAATGTCTGAAGATAGCATAGTATCTACCAAACCTGCCATTAAGATTCTGTTTTTTATACTTACTGGAATTAAGCCCTACTAGACAACTAGAAAAAGTAGAAGGCGAGGGATGATGAATATTGTAAATGTCGAAGGAGTAGAAAAACCGAGAAAAGTCTTGTCAGCTAGTTCAATTGCCTGTTAATCCTCCTCACTGATAATGTGCATTGTCATTGAGTTCATAAGGGTGATGGCTACTGCTCTTGTATTAGTGACTTGAACTAGCTTACTTATTTATTTCAGTTAAATTAGAAGCAAGTAGTAGAAGAACCTACTGTAGGTAATGTTCCAAGCCACACTTTTTCTATTCAAGAAACTAGGTTTAACTATCTTAATAGCTGTGGATAGATCTCCTTCAGTAATATATATAATAGTGGGTGGGAGCAAGAAATGGTCTACTACACTAAGATTTGCTGGAAATTGATGAGTATATTGACTTTCATTTCCACTTCTTTAGGAACAGCAACAATAAAAACATAGTATTGAACCCCTGAGAAAAACAGTACATTGATATGTGACAAACCTAAACCTAGCTCATTTTTAGTATTTGGCATTTATAACTTTTGTATTTGGCTCCAGTTACTAAATTTTGCAGTTCTTTTCAAACAAACAAACATTGGAGGGAGAATAACAAAATCAATGGATCACTGCTGTAACTGTCAGCTACAACTATTATTGTTGTAACAATTATGCTCTTCATCATTTTAATTGCCATTGATGTTTTTATTCATATTTGTATAGTGATAAACTCTGTAGTAGCTTCTATTTTAAAGTAGACAACTTCTATGGTTTCCAATGGTACTTCCACTTGTATTCTTTCATTATTTTTTTTAATCAAAAACACCTTAGAATAAACCTGTTCGTCTCGTGCACTAATTGATTAAGCATAAATAAGGTCAAGTAGGTTGCATACTATGGCTGTTTTGAGCAAATTAATTTCTAAGCAGGGCTATTTTGAAAGTTTGATTATATCTTTCAAATGTCTTAATTTTGCTTTATGGCTTTTATTAAATTAAATTGAGTATTTTACTAAATGTTCCCCTTTTATTTTCCAGTCCACCTAAACCAACTGTGTTTATTTCTGGTGTAATTGCAAGGGTAAGTCATCATTTTCAATAATTTTCAGCTTTTCACTGTGACAATATGAATTGCAAATGTCTGCTATGTTTGTTTTGGTCAATGATTTTCCTTACCAAGGAAGCTGTTTTTGTTACATCAGATAACATAATTCAATTGTGTAATTCCCATTATCTTGGAAAAGAAAAATACTTGTTTATTTAGGTTTTTTAATAGGATGTGAATTACCTCATGAGCTATGTATTTAAAAATGTTATCAGTTGAACTGTAACTCCCTTTTTTGTTTAATTTCAATCTCCCCTGTCTTTGTAAATGTTGTCAGGGCAATATATGTCATTAAAACATTAATAGAGTGTATAGAAAACTGGCAGCAATAAAATTAACAGTTTTGCAGTTTTAAAGTTGGAAAATGAAAAGTAAAAAATATGTATATTGGAACATGAAGGAAAATAGTTTGTATTCTTCAAAACTTAGCTTGATATCCTGGAGGACTGGAAAATTTCTAGTCTGAGTTGTGAAACTAATAGAAATAATGCCTAAAGATATATTTTGGAAAATAGGGAGTTCTTTCCCAGGTACTGAAAATATAACAAAGTAAATTAGAGGACACCTTTTTTTTTTCAAAAACGAATGCAGTCTTGTGGTATCTTCTGGACCCCTAAATTTGTTACATCCTTACAGCATAAGGATGTTGACTGAAAATGCTTAGGCTTGTGAAAAACACACTAAACATCTGAAAAGTATCAGGAAGAGACAAATTGCATTAGATTATACAAATATAACTTATCCACATAACTACTCAGCAAATAAAAATTCTGAAAGACATTGATTTTTCTTGCTTACAATACACCCAGGTGCGGCTACAAAATCATATATTAAACTTTTAAAGTTATATTTCATTTACTTCAATGTATTTGAAAGCAATCAGATGTGTAACACCATAAGAGCATCATTTCCTTTTTTAAAAATAAAACTTCAGTTTCAGGTGCAAATATTAAGTATACTTCAATTTTGACTTGTGTTTCAAAAAGCCCAGCACACTGGAAGTTCAGTGTCCAATATCTGAAAAGACTTTACTGAACGTTATAGACTTTAATGGATTTAGAATTTGCAATACTTACAGATTCATTCAGGCATAATTCTAAACAGTTCCCACTACTACTATAGTATTTTTGGAGGCTGAAATTGAGCAAGTCCAATAATCCATTCACAAACAAACATACCTTATGGATTTCTAATTGGGTCATGCTGATATATACTAGCTTTTTGAAGCATGTGCTTGGGAGATAAGGTGAGACTAGAATTTGCTGCATGCTGCTTAATGAGCAAGAGAAATCAAACTTTTACAGGGTTTGCAAAGCTGACTAAGTATTAAAATCTGTTAGGATTGATAAACACTGTTTACATAATTAGAAAAATCAAACCTGGCAGGAGTTGTCCCCCTCCAGGAGTTGTGAGACTGTCTAGAAACTAGAAGAATTATGCTTGGATTCACTGATGAGTGAAATCAGCTAGCCTTCATCAGCACCACATCTTAAGTTTGTCAATCTTGATATTATTATTGTTGAGGGAAACATGTAAAGGCAGTTTATTCAAAGCTAACAGTATTCTGAACAGCATGCGTGTGTGAAAAAGATTTTTACTAAAGTGATTTCAGTAGTTAACAAAAATTTAAGTGACCTCAAATATAAATGTTCATTTCCCATTCCCAAATTCAGTCACTAACCAGAATTCTGCTACCCAAATACTTTTCATGCTTATAGAAGAAGGATGCCACTGTGGCCTTTCAAAAATCTGTAACAAGATTTGAAGGATGTTGTAGCCTGTTTGAAGCTTTGTGTGCAGATTCAAAAGTTCTGAACTCCAAATTCCAAGAGTCTGAACTTCTGACAGAAAAACTGAAAGCGCAAAACTTTGTTATTCTTAAAAAGGGAGAGAGACTAATTGTTATGTGTCATGTTTTTAATGCTGATGTTTGTTCTTTAATTAGGGTGATAAAGACTTCCCTCCAGCTGCAGCACAAGTGGCCCATCAAAAACCACATCCCTCTGTGGAAAAACTTCCTCCCCCACAACATGTCAATCAATACATCCATCAGCCCCGTAAATGAATTGCTTCTTCCAGGCCAGCCGTGGTGTTTTACAAATGGAAAGATTAAGAGATGTCTGCTACCAGATCTTTTAAAAATGGGTATCTCCTGCTTTTGCCTTAATTCCTATGGTTTAACTTTAAATGGTTTAATAAAGGGGAGGGGAGAGTAGAAAGAGGGAAAATCACTTAATTTGTTCCCAGCTGAAAAGCAGAATTTTCTGTACTGCCATGAAAAAGGTTATGCTCATACCAATGCAACACACTGCAGATAGTTTAGGTTAATAATTTCTTGGAATAATTATTTTAAGCTTTTTCTATTCTTGGGTATTGGCATTCCAGGAACATGTTAAGAAAGTTGTAATGGCTTATAACTTTTTCTTGCTCTTTTCTAATGAAGTTTTTAAAAAATATGTGTGATTCAGATTTCATTGGGATTGTTCATGTTCTGTTCTTAAATGTTTTTCAGGAAGAACTAGCTGCTTATATTTTTTTTAATGAATAATCTGAAATGACAATTTCTCTTGCAATATGTGTCTTTTAAGAGAATGATCCTGCAGCTCTGGCAACGTAGCCAAACATTCTGATTATAGCCTGGTTCTCTGCATTTCTTTCCAGATTAATAGAAGAATGAGCAAATAATTAAAAGATTGTATAGATCTGCTTGTTGCTTCATTTTTAGATACTCCTGAGGTTTGGGCACTTTTTCACCTTTTCAAAATGGTTTTTACACATGTAGGAATCAGATATGCAGTCTTTCCTACGAATAAAATTGTAGATTACGGTACATGGAAAGTTGGCTGAAATGTTTTTTTTCCTGGGAATCTGTATGTGCAAATAGTTCTTCAATAAACCATGAATGAATATTTAGGTTTAAAATGCCCTGTGTGCACCTTACAATGCTATAGATCATAGTCAATTATTGCAAATTTGATATAGTTATACACTGACAAAGTTTTGTGCTAGGTGAATCTGGTGAAAGATGAAGTAATGTATATTGATGAGCAAGCAGTGTTCTTGCTTCTTTTTCATAGCAAACAGGCCAGCTCTCATGTGAGAAGCAATCTCAGATTTCAACTTGCTGCTGAAAAATATGTGTCCCTTTGTTTGTCAGATGTATCTGTTACATTCAGTGGAAACTATGTGAGCAGTGAGACACATCTGAATGGAAGCTTGCAATGGCTATATGTGAATAATATATTTGCTGAACTGGAGAAAGAAGTAAACCATATAAGCTACTTTGTGAAAGCTGGTGATGCATACCCAACTGTATTGCAGCTGCATAATTTTAAAATCATCCAGTTCTATATAATCCTATTTCCCTTACTTTTTTATAGGTACTTTCATTTTTAATTGATTACAGTATACTACATCCCATTTCAATTTTCAAACAAACCATTTTAATGATTTTCAGAAAAGTTACCTGTTAATGTATCATTGTTGTAAGTGTTTTCATTCCTTTTGGACTCAGGGAAACCATTTACTCTTAAGGACCACATGAGAAAGTGGTAAGAAGAAGGAATTTTCATAATAAACTCTTCTGAAAATGTTGCTAAATCAGAATCTGTAATTAACTTATTTTGAAACAGATAGAAAATCACAACAGGAGCATCTTGTTTTTCTTCCACATCATTAGTAATAGGTAAGACACTATCCATAGAAACTTCACAAAATAAGTTTTTATTTTCTCAGGGTATCATATATACCTGCGGTTGCCAAATAGTGGGCCACTGGTGGGCCATGAGAAAATTTTGGTGGGCCACAGAGAAATCTCACACCCAGAGCACCTCCCCAAAGCAATTAATCCAGGCTGCGCAGAAACACAAGGCTGTGCCGCCCACATGGCCCGCGGGAACTCTCCCTACCCACTCCTTACCCGGCAAACATGCCTGCTAAATTGCTATTTTTCCTTTTTCTGACCATCATCTGTTCTATTAGCTAGGAAGCAGAAAATGGTTGGATTTCTTGCTTTCTAGCAAGTCTTTAGATCTTCAGCTCTGAAGGTTTGCTTGCAAGTAAATTCAGTGCAGACTCATGGCAAGCAAATTTGAGAGACTGACCTAACCGATGGCAGATAGATCACTGAATGATTCTGTGAGCAACTCAATCTGCCTGCTTTGCCTGATTTTGAGTAAAAATTGCTTTTTTAAAATAAAAAATTCAATATTTACATGCATGGTGTGTTGTCAGTTAATTTTGTGAGTTTGGTTGCAAGCAAATTTTATGTGACAGACTGAGCTAGCCAATGGCAGATAGATAGCTTTCTGAATGGACCTGTGATTCTGTGAGCAACTTAATCTACCTGCCTGCTTTGCCTGATTTTGGGTAAAAGTTGCTCTTTTTATTAAAAAAAATCAATATTTATATACATATTTAGAATATTTACATACAAGCCATGCCCAGCCAGTCACATGACCACCAAGCCACACCCACAAATTAGACCATGCCCACAGAACCAGTTAGTGGTCCCTGGGATCTAAAATTATGAGTTTGGTGGTCCCTGAGGTCCAAAAGGTTGGCAACCCCTGATATATACTATTTGGTTTCTCTACCTCAGAGGCTTCTCACTTTGTCATTAACCAGATAGGAATCCCAGACACTTCCCACATTCACACATGAACAAATATTTTTATTGTAGTTACTGACCAGAATTGCAAACAAAATATATTAAAAAGAAAATAAAAAGAAAACAAAATAAGATAAAATACTACAGTTAGTGGATCTGACAATAGATAATCAAAGTCTTCCTAATTTTACAGTAATTTTGTATTACAGTATAATACAGTATATATTCAGGAGACTGAATCATACTCCTCTGATAACAACTGCAGGTAAGAAAGATTAGAATTTCCTGGGTATTTTACCAGATAAGGAGTTATAAGGCAAATCCTTGTAGAGGGTACACTAGCTGTACTACTACATGAGCTGTAGTCCACAGTGGTAGAATCTCAGCTCATGAGATACTTTTTTGTATCAGTCCTCCAAAACACAGCCCTATTGTTTTAACACCTTGATATTCAAGAAATACACCACTGTGGGTGCCTGCAATCAAAGAGACTATATAAGCAGTTTAAACTCCACCTAGCCAAATGTAGTTTATCAGCCATGTAGAGTAGCTCTTCAGATATTTTTTTAAAAATCTGGTTTAGCTGCTTGCCTGCAGGCCATTCTATATGGCTAGTAAATTCCATATGAATTAAAGATTGCAGAAGTGCTTAATTACTCCAGCTCCTGAAAAGTCTAATGAAAGTTAACAACATAGTGTGGATTTATAAAAGCCTGGCAGTGCAATTCTTCATATTTCTCCTTGGAAACAGTCCTTTTTATTTGAATGTGTCTTGTTCCATATAAGTGGATGTAAGATTGCATTTAACTGAACTACAATTGAATTACTGTCAAGGAAAGTCAAATTTACCCAGTTAGCTATTAGAACCTTCTGTGCAATGTAATCATTTACATAACTATAGTACAGTGTGTTAAGTACAGATAGTCTTCTCTTTAGAAAACATGGAATGTTTTTGGGTTTAAAACCTGATAATGCTATTACAGCATTAAGGTTATAAATTGCTTAGTAAAATTTGAACTTTGCTTTAAAAATTAAACCAGAAAAAAAATGAATAGATGGATGTTCTACTAGACATTCTCCCCACTGCAAAGAATTGACACTTTCAATATCCTGAAAGAGAAAAACCAAAAAAAATCCAAGGTAAGTTAATGCAAATAGGTAAGGTAACAGTGGTTAGAATTGAAATACATGTAATTTTTACTGTAATCACACTTAAAACCCTTTAATCTATTGTCACTTGTAATACAAAAATAGCTTCATAATAGGTATTGGAGTAGCTATCCATTGTGATTGCTGTCCTTGAACCAATTTGCAAAAAGGTTAGCCAATCAATTTCACAAACAGGGCAATTGTCAGCATTTGGAACATGCCTACTGTTATGAGACAATCCAGGATCAAAACACAGCATGCACAGGTTTAGACATTTAATAGTGGTTTATATACAAGACATATACAGAAATATACGTGGTAGGCAACTACCTGACAAGCAATCAATCTTCTTAACTCTGTACAGAAAACTACAATGGATACAAGGAGAGAGATATACACCCTCTAATAACTGCCTTATATAAACACCTCTTAAAGAGGTAAAACTTCTTTGGACCCATATGTAGTCTTAAAAAGGCAATACCAATGCTGATTCATCTTCATTGCATCAGCCCTACTAATGTACAGCTGCTGGTCAGCTCTTAAATATCAATAACAGCAATTAAACAAAATTCCCAAACAACTCTTATAGAACAGATAATTCTGTTCTTACTCTGAGGCCATGGACTCAACAGATAGAAAAATCTCGTCTTCAGTGAGTTAGGTCTTTTGGCTTGAGCATTCCACCCCAAGCAGGCTGATATCTTTTTTCAACATTGAAAAAGTTGTGATAATCACAGTATGGTTGCTGGTGTGTTGACTGAAAAAAATGAGCATCTGGTTCTGCTTCATTGCATAGGAGTGTTAATGTCACAGTATCCAACTTTTTTTAAAAAAAATCCAATCAGAAATATTTTATTGGACTCTAAATGCCAGCATTTACAGTCCCAACAGGGGAATAAGAGTCAGTATTTTACATATAGCTAACAACCAAGAAATCAATACAGTATTTAAATTTCTTAATTGTACCCCTGAAATATCAGGAGCTAATATCACAAATAACTCAGCAAATCAATATGGTATTTTACATGTATTCTGAAAACACCTTGATAGGTAGATGTCTACTAATTAATCCAAAGTAGTCTAGACAGAACTGTTTTTGCAAATACACTTTTGACTTGCTTTGCAACAGTATCTATTTCGTGCTATGCATGCTTTGGGATCCTGTTGTGGAGCTTTCTTATTTTGAAGACTTACTGAATTTTTCAGTCTCCCTGGAAAATATTCACTTGGTTATAATGTTGGTGGAGACAAGAAACATAGCAGCTGGCAACTGTACTAAGTCAGTCCAAATATGAGTAACTCCATCTTCTGGCTTCTCTCTGATTAAAATAGTGCTGAATGGAATGTTCTGTAGCATGGCTTCCCAAACATACTAGTATGGCAATCATATTGTTCTAGAGTAAAGTTGACATGCCTGGACAAGCCAAGGAGAAACCCATGCCAGAAATAGGACTCAAATCAAGAAGGTATACAATTGATTACCGTTTCATCTCATACGGTCACCTACTGCTCTATCAGTCACATGAATAATTGTCAAAAATGTATGTGCTGTCTGACTGACTCCTGGTGCCTTACAAAATTCAAAGGAAATTACAATAAAATCATTAGAAATAATAGATGGCAAATGCAATGAAGCGAAGTGTCCTCATCAAATGTTTGGGTAAAGAGCCAAGTATTCAGAATTCTGAAGAATAGCACTGTGGGGTATATTTGAACTTTGCTCCAGAGGCCAGGTATGGTTACAGAGAAGTCTGCTTTTTCAATCCTGATTGATGACATTGTTGAAAATGAAATCACCTGAGGATGCCAACCCTGCAGGATCAAATCAGCCAGGCAAATGCTAGGGCAGGCAGATAGTCTTCTCAGCCCTATGCCATGGTTGTTGAAGGCACCTTGAATTGTGCCCAGAAGGAAGCCATAACCAGTGAAGTTCATGAAGCAAAAGTGTTAACTGGGCACATCAAAGCCTATCCATTACTGATTGCATTCTAGACCAGTTGAAGCTTCTGGATGGCTTTTTAAAGGCAGGCCCATGTAAAATACATTGCAGTAATCAAGCTGCAAGGTGAATAGGGCAGGAGTGACTGTCTGAAGGACCCCCAATTGGAATGAACATCAGTGAACTGTAGAAAAATTGATTATGTTTAGAGAATAGAGAGATTAGTTAAGTGTTTGTCCAGCACTTTCATTTCATACTTTCAAAAAATAGCAGTCTCCTTAGGTTGTTGTGTAGCAATAGATGACATAGGGTTGATCTTGATTTAGGCTTCTAGTCCAAGAAGGTTCCATACATTCTGGTCCAGTTTATGGGCAATGCACTTGATGAGATTTAGCAATCCTGATACCAGCCTTGTGGAGTAAACTAAACTCAAATTCGGTACTCAGTGCATTTTGATGCGAAAATGTCATCCTGGTACTCCTCATTTGGCATTCAACGTGCTGCTATAGGGACGGGGACTACTGCAGCTGGCGGACAGGAAATCGGCCATGCAGGAAAGGTTACTGACATAGGAAAAGGGACAGACTGGACATTTTTCCTTGGCCTAAACAAAGGGGTCACATGGTAATCACATGCTTTGTTCGGTACTTATCGTTTTAGTACTTGTTATACCTGGAACCAATTAACGAGTACAAAGGTAGTACTGTATTGGAGAAAATTACATCAATAAAAAGATTCAACTTCCTAAATTACTATATAGCTTTTAAACTGCCAGGTTCCTTGACAAAGAAAATTGTAATTTATAAAATGTGTATTTAACAAGGAAATGTCATGTATAAATTGAAAATTATAATGTTGTACCTCAAAAGAGCACTTTAACAAAACACTACATTTTATAGTCTTTCAATTGAAGCATATTGCCTTTATTATGTTGAAAGTCCTATTTAAAAATATAATAATCACATTTACATAGTTACTTTCTGGGTGTAATCCAGTTTAATGAGAAAATGATATTAAGTTGCTAGGAGAACATACAAAATCTTTTTTTTAAGTTTATTATTCAAATTGGATGAAAATGGTGCCCAAAATTAGCATCATGGCCTTCCCTAAGAGGACACCAGTCTTTCCCAGTAAATTAAGTGATGTCAGCCCTTTGAGATAGGTGAAGTCCAAAAGTTGATTCCACAAGCACTATTGGAAGGATTTGAGGATAATCTGGCTGTGATATATTATAAAATCTATTTTATTGATAAAGGGCATAATAAGAATCCTGAAAGCCTGACAGAGATTCCTTCTCCTTTCTCTTATACCAAAGCAAATCAAGATGGAGCAATCTTGAGCTTTTTTTCCTCACTCCTCTCTTCCAGCACTGCACTGGTTTTTAAGTCAACAGCTGTTGATTTCATTCTTCAAAACCATCTCCAAGGTTCTCCAGAGTTGGAAAAAGGCAAATCTATACAGATTTAAAAACATGATCACTCTCACTCATTTTATTCTCACTAACAATTTTGGATTACATTAGATACAGTATGCAAACTGATGGTTTTAAAAATATGTTAAACATTGTGTTTTATTTATCAGCTAAAATTAATATGAATAGTATCTGATAAAAATATGTGGAATGCAAATCTGGATTTTAAACAATGTATGGGAATAAGAGCTTGGGAAAAATATTATATAAAATAGAAATGCTCTATGGAGGCAGAAAGCTTAAGATGCATTTCTGAAAAAAAATCACTGATATTTTCAATAAAAATATGAAAATCTGTACCTTAAGGATTATTACAAGACATGTGAAACTACTAAAATTTTCTGGCACATTTCTTGAGAGTGTCCAGACATCCAACATTGGGAAATCAAATTTTTTAGTTAGTAAAACTAAATAGTATGTAATTTAGTTTTACATTCTTTCTGTAACTTGTTTAGCATTCAATAGCTTAAAAGTTAGTATCACACACATAGCACACACATATATTGCAATTTAGCAACTACATAACATTTTTAAATTTAGATACTCTCTATTTAAAACTTCATGTTTACATTCAATGTGGCCTTGATTGGTTTTGGACTTTCTTTAGCATTTTAATTTTTTATTTTCTATCCCACCTTTATTATTTTTTATAAATTACTCAACATATCTAATGCTTTTATTTTCTCTCCCACCTTTATTATTTTTTATAAATTACTCAATATATCTAATATCTCTTCCTCACATAGTTTTCCTAAGCATCCATAATAGTACAAATACTATTTGAATAAATAATCCCTTGATTAATAAATCATTTGATTGAATATTTAGGGAAAGGCTAGGGGCACATCCAGTATCACAGATTACTAATTATATTACATGAAAACTCCATCAAATACATAAGTATACCAATCTCACAGGATTCTCTGATCCATGCTAAAAAATAAGGTCATGGGGTTTGCCCTTTTTAAGCCTTTCGAAACAGTGATTTCACAGTTCATTTATCTTAGATTTTGGTTGGTTTGAGGCATTGTCTGCAAGCATTAGCATTTTATTGCAGCAATAAAAAACTAGGTATCAATTATTCCAAAACTAGCTTTATTGAGAGGTGCATTAATTGCACTCCTAATTAGTAGATTAACAATAGCATACCAAAAAAGATAAGGATTTCATACATGTTGGAAGTATCAAGCACAGATAAGGAAGAGGAAACAAGCGTATTATAAAAAAGGCAGGAATTAACTGTCTTACAAAAAAGGCTTACAAAATAATGCAGAATTCAGGGAATTAATATCCCAGAGCCAAAGAGAAATAAAAGTAGTAATAGAAGCATAGATTTCACCTGAAGCTTGGATGCTTTTCCCAAAAAATTAATTTGTAGATGTCTTTGAAGATTCTCGGTCATCCTTGTCATGGTTGCCCCAAAGGTGCTTTTTCTTTTTTCTTTTTCTTTTGGAAAATTTATTTTTTCAACATTTAGAAACCATTTCCACTCTTTACGATTCTGTAACGATGTTCACACCAATTAACAAAGTCTATACTTATAACTATTACTTCTCCATTCTATTCACTTATACTCTTATTTCTCAATCTAACTTATAACATTAACATATATATATATATACATATATAACATTAATTAACGTTACCTCATATTTACTGTCATTTGACGCCTTTGTGTCTTTTTTCTAACTACTCATACCAAACATTCCATGTCTTACAGTACTCTATTTCTTCTTCATCTTTCAATACCATCCTAAGCCTGTCCGTTTCAGTGCATTCAAGAATCTTTTTTATCATTGCTGTCTTGGAGTGTCCTGTTTTCAATTTTGAGCAAATAAGATTCTGGCAGTGGTTACTATATGGGGTACAATATATTGGAGATTCCTACTGAGATTAGATCCTATTATACCTAATAAAAACACTTCTGGTCTTAATTCAATTTTTTGCCTTGTTATTTCTTCCAACCCTGTTTTGATTTTAAGCCAGTACTTCCAGGCTTGGGGACAGGTCCACCACATATGAAAATACGTTCCTTGGCTATGGTTACATTTCCAGCATTTTGCTGACATATTGGGAAACATCCTGGCTAACCTCTCTGGGGGGAGGTTCCAGCAGTAAAACATTTTCTAAAGATTCTCCTTATATGCAACTGATAACGTTAATTTATAATTTACTTGCCATAGTTTTTCCCACTGTTAAATAGGTGCTTTTTCAAGAGGCAACTGGATGTTCTGGATTTTCTTTTCCTTTGAAAATGTTTCGCTTCTCATCCAAGAAGCTTTTTCAGCTGTGACTGGATTGGATCATTCAGTCAGAGCTGAAAAAACTTCTTGGAGAAGCAAAGCATCTTCAAAGAAAAAAAACAGTAAGTACAGTTGTCTCTTGAAAAAGCACCTTTGGGTCAGTTTGAAGATATTAAGACTATTAAACCA